GACCCCAACGAGACGGATCAATTTGACTGTTGCGACTTGCCGATCCTGAATCGTGTCAGAACGTTTTTCTTGAAACTTCAACTCCGCGAACAGACGTAACTGATGCACCTTCATCATCTTGAGTCCTCTCAGGGCACCGACGTGGGAACCCATGAAACTCAAACTCTTACATTTGTTGCAAGATATGTGCTCGGCACTAAGGCGAGAGCCGAATTTTGCAAACGAAGTGCCCTCAATCCGTGAAACCTCTGCAAATGTTTAAAAGAATGTGCGCGGCGCTAAGGCGCGAGCCACATTTTGAAAACGACCCGCCTTCCATTTGTGAAGCTCTTGCAAGTATAAAACGAATGTGCGCGGCGCGAAGGCGAGAGCAACATTTTGAAAATGACCCGCCCTCAATCCGTGGAAATCTGGGAGATGTTTAAAGCGAATGCTCGCGGCGCTGAGGCGAGAGCCACATTTTGCCAACGAGCCTCCCTCCATCTGTCAATTTGTTGTCAACTTTGGAGCATCAAGGTCATAAGTGGTGAGCGGTTCTCAGGCGAATCGCTGGGCCTGCCCTTTTGACCAGACTCGGGGCGCGACAGGGAGAACTGATTTATAAGGAAAGGGAATGGAAGAGGAGAAGGACGAGGAGGAAAGATGAGAGAAGATGGAGGAGAGAAGGAAACGGAAGAGGAGGAAGAGGAGGAGTAGGAGGAGGAGGTGGATGATGATGATGCTGATGATGATGATGATGATGATGATGATGATGATGATGATGATGATGATGATGATGGTGACGGTGATGGTGATGGTGACGATGATGATGATTTTGATGGTTATGTTGATGGAGATGGTGCTGGTGGTGATGGTAATGATGGTGAGGATGATGATGATGTTGATGATGATGATGATGATGATTGTGACAATGATGATTATGATGATGATAATGATAATGATGATGATAATGATAATGATGATGATGATGATGATGATGATGATGATGATGATGATGATGATGATGATGATGATGATGATGGTGGTGATGCAAGCGCTGAGGCTGAGCCTACTGCTGATGCTGCTGCTGATGATGGTGATGGTAATGGTGATGGTGATGGTGGTGATTCTGATGATGCTGATGCTGATGATGATGACGATGGTGATGAGGATAATGCTCATGTTGATGTTGAGGCTGCTGCCGCTGATGCTGCTGATGGTGATGACGCTGACGATGATGCCGATGACGATGACGATGACGATGATGATGATGATGATGATGATGATGATGATGCTGATGAGGATGAGGATGATGATGATGAGGATAAGGATGAGGATGATTATGATGATGACGATGACGATGACGATGACGATGATGATGATGATGATGATGATGATGATGATGATGATGCTGATGATGATGATGATGACGATGACGATGATGACGATGACGATGACGATGGCGATGATGCTGTGAGGGTGATTGTGATGGTGATGATGAAGGAGCGAGGAAGAGGGAGGGGAAGGAGAGATGGGGGAGGGGGAGGGAGAGGAAGGAGGGGGAGAAGGAGGGGGAGCAGGAGAGGGTGGAGGAGGAGGAGGAGGAGGAGGAGGAGGAGGAGGAGGAGGAGGAGGAGGAGAAGGAGGAGGAGGAGGAGGAGGACGAGGAGGAGGAGGAAGACGAAGAAGAAGAAGAAGAAGAAGAAGAAGAAGAAGAGGCAGAGGAGGAGGACGAGGACGAGGACGAGGAGGAGGAGGAGGAGGAGGAGGGTGGAGGAGGAGGAGGAGGCGGAGGCGGAGGCGGAGACGGAGGCGGAGACGGACGAGGAGGAGGAGGACAAGTCGAAACCCAAGAGTCATCAACGATGTTGGAAGTAACCCTCCCTCCAAACTCACCCTTCATAGGCCCCCCTCGGTGGGGCCGAAACTGGCTGCATGCAGCAGATTTCGTAACCCCCCCTTTCCCGATCCCCCCCTCTCGCCCGGCCCGACTCTCCCTCTCCCCGCCCCCTCCCCGCCCTCCCTCTCCCCGCCCCCCTCCCTCTCCTGATCGACGCCATCGTGGACGGCGGCCTCGTCGAGGCGGAGGAGCTGGAGCTCCCTCTCCCCGCCCTCCCTCCCCGCCCTCCTCTCCCCGCCCTCACTCTCCCCGCCCCCCTCTCGCCCGGCCCTCCCTCTCCCCAACCCCCTCCCCGCTCTCCTGATCAACGCCCTCTCCTGATCGACGCCCTCTCCCCGCTCTCTCCGCCCTCCTCTCCCCGCCCCCCTCCCTCCCTCTCCCCGCCCCCCTCCCCGCCCTCCCTCTCCCCGCCCCCCTCCCCGCGCTCCTGATCGACGCCATCGTAGACGGCGGCCTCGTCGAGGCGGAGGAGATGGAGCTCGGCCTCCGGCCAATGCCCCGCGGCCCACGGGGGGGAGGCCAGCGCGCGGGAGCGGGCCTCCTCCTCCTCCTCCTCCTCCTCCTCCTCCTCCTCCTCCTCCCTCCCCCTCCTCCTCCTCCTCCTCCTCCTCCTCCTTCTCCTCGTCCTCGGCCTCCTCCTCCTCCTCCTCCTCCTCCTCTTCCGCCTCGTCCTGCTCGCCATCGTGATCGTCATCGTCTTCCTCCTCCTCCTCCTCCTCGTCATCGACCTCCTCCTCCTCCTCGTCATCGACCTCCTCCTCCTCCTCCTCCTCCTCCTCGTCGTCGACCTCCTCCTCCTCGTCCTCCCAGACGGGGGCGGCCGCGCAGTCGAGGCGACCCAGCAGTCGCAGGCAGGGGGAAGACAGGATGGACGAGCGAAGGAAGAACGAGGGAACGGAGGGGGAGGAGGGGGCGGATGAGGAGGGGGAGGAGGGGGAGGAGGAGGAGGAGGAGGAGGAGGAGGAGGAGGAGGAGGAGGGGGAGGAGAAGGGGGAGGAGGATGAGGAGGAAGAGGAGAGCAGGGGACGAGAGAGGAGGCTGAGGAGGAGGGCCTGCGCGTCGGCTGATGCTGCTGGTGACGTGTTGCACATTTGTACATTGCCACGAGGCCAAGCATTAGGAGACAGAGAAGGGATTGGAAATGGAGCTGTAGAGGACAAAGACGACGCCTTACGTACAGGAAGAAGACGAGGAAACACACTGAGGAAACAATAAGGGAGAAATGAGGAAACGGACGGGGAGGAGAGTGACCCGAGGGGGCGGATGAGCAATGCACAGTGAACAATCCGACGAGGATCCATCTTACGACCTCGTGCGCGCTCTGAGCGGCTGAAAGGAGAAGAGAAAGATATCAGAGAGGATGAAGAGGCAGACAGGAAGCTATGAGGGGGAGGAGGGGGACGAAGGAGGACGGGGGAGGAGAAAGGGGATGAAAGAAAAACGAGGGGAGGGAGGTTGGGGCGGGTCACCAAAAACGCTGAATACCTTCACGCCATCATAGGCCTGCCTTCTGCCCTTCCACGGAATCCCGCCGCCGTCTTCCGCAGACGGCACCTCCGTGAGCAGACCGCGAGATACCCGGACCCCCCACGTCGTGACTTCTTCACAAGGTCGACCCCCAGAGGTCTGGACCCCTTCCCCGGGACCGGCTGTTCGTCCCGAGTCGTTTTGTTGACGGTCCCGAGGCCCGGTAAAGGCCCCCAGAGGCCGAAGATAATGGAAAACCTCCCGTCGCGATTTCTTCACGACGCGAGGGGGTCTGGGTACACTACTCCGTCGGCCCGAACGTCGCTACAAAACTGCGCGCACCGTCATGACGTCGGGAAAGAGGATAAGTGTCAAGGATATTACATTATGGTGAGATCCGCCGACCCTGTCGGCGTGTGCTATGGGGAATACGGGCTGGGGTGGTCGTCGCGGGGTGGTCCTGGGATACGCCTATCCATCCCCCCTTTCACTGCGGGCACCTGTGGCTCTTCAGGCTCGCCAATCCGACTTTGATCTTTTCTGGGCCGTGGTGGGGTCCCTCGGGGAGGGGATCCCAGGGGGGCGTACTCTCTGGACCCCCCCTACCTCGAGTGACTCGGGCGATGTTGGGGCTGGTTGGGCCACTTGGGCCACCCAGCACAGCCAGAACCCTCTCGGGGCCAATCTCGACCTACTTCAGCCGACGACGACGACGATGACGATGACGATGACGATGACGACGACGACGACGACGACGACGACGTCGTCGTCGTCGTTTTTGGAGTCGGCATCGTCGTCGTCATCGTCATCGTCATCGTCGTCGTCGTCGACATCGTCGTCGTCGTCGTTTTTGGAGTCCCCAGGGCCGTCTTGGAGGACCCGAGGCCGAGCCACGAGGCCCGCATCGGCCGAACTCGGATGCCTCGCGCGACGCTGTCACTCTCGCCGCGTCGGCCACGAGAGCGTCCACGACGGCCCATGGAGAGAGAGAGAGAGAAGCCTTGCACGTCAGAGGTGCATTGGCAAAGGGGTGTGAAACCACATCGAAATGCGATGCGAAGCCTCCGGCGTCGCTGGCTCCATGCACAGGGAAGGCTTGCCAGTCTCGTCATGCATACCCCGCTCGCCAAAATTGCCCCCCGCAAGGTGGACGGCCCATGGAGCCCACACAAACTCAGCCCACCAAGACACACCTCAGGAAGCCAACACGACCGGCCCAAGGCACTGTTGCACCGCGGGGAGCCAGCCCCTCCGACATGACGCCAAGACTCCCAGGAGGCCCGCAAAAGGCGCCCCAAACGCACCCAAGGATGCCACCACAGCCCCCACGAACCGCTTTGAAACAGGACGAAGGCGCCGTGGCACGGGTGGGCCGACGACCATTGGATTTTCCCCCTCGCACCAAGACTTCCGCCTCTTGCGCCCGAACTCTTCACTCCGCAGGGTCGGCGGAACCGGCGGCCGTGAGGCCTTTGCAACCAGCCATGATAGGAGGACGAAGCTGGACCGATGCGGGCCCCCACGCTGTTGAAGAAGCGAAGGGGAGAAGAAGGAAGGAGCACTCCACGAGGTGTTCTGAGTACTGTGGGGCAGGAGGCCTGGGATGCCAGCAGGGAAAGGAGGGAAACAAGGTAAATAAAAGTGTGGTACGATTTCAGAAGAGCACGAAGATCCCGTGCTCCGCCATGGTGGCAGGACGGTGGTCGCTCCACATCCGCCTTCGAGGATTCGACTCGAGCTGGCCGATCGCGAGTGATAGTCATCGCTGCAGCACGCACGCACGCACGCTGATGACGTTGAGGATGTGGGCAGGCGGGGGAGGAGGCGGTGGAGGAGGAGGAGGAGGAGGAGGAGGAGGAGGAGGAGGAGGAGGAGGGGGAGGAGGAGGGGGAGGAGGAGGAGGAGGAGGAGGAGGGAGGAGGAGGGAGGAGAAAGGAGGAGGAGGAGGAGGAGGAGGAGGAGGGGGAGGAGGGGGAGGAGGAGGCGGAGGACGGGGAGAGGGGGCAGGTGGGAGGCACGTCATCTGCGCTAGCGCCTGCCTGACGTGCTGCCTCTCCCACCCGTCCCTTTCCATTGCGCTGTAGTCTCGCACCGCGACGGGTGTGGCAGCGGCACTGAACCCCCCACATGACTCATCACGTCATGCGTCATCAGAAAAGGGGGTTCGTGTACAAGGAGGAGGAGGTGGACGAGCAAGAGGATGGAGAAAGAGCAAGAGGAGGGAAGGCGAAGAGAAGGAGAAGGAGGAACAGCAGCAGCAGGAGCAGGCAGGAGTAGGAGGAACGGGGGAAGCGGGGCGACCAGGGGAAGGCGGAGGAAAGGAAAGAGGGGGTGACGACGACGAGATGGGACTCGGACACGGGAATATGGCCTGAACAACGGGAGCGAAACAGTGGTCCTGCTGATATAAGACCAACGCTGCAGCGGGAACACCGTGTGCGTGCGTGTGTTTGTCAAAAGCCACAATGTCCGATCATTCATTAATGTCACATGGATCGCACCCTTGCCCCTTGCGGCAGAATATTCCAAACAGCCTTGCACACTTACGATGGGGGCCACGATGCGGGGTCACCAAGGGAGGGCACGATGAGGGGATCGGGATGGGGTCAGGACTGGGGTAGGAGAATATAGTGCTAGGGGCATAGGAATGGGGATCGGGATGAGGATGCGGGATAGGGATGCGGACAGGGACATGCAATACGAGACAACGGGAGACGACGCCACCCGACCGATTCCAGCTCCGGCAGCAAAAAAATGTTGCAGACAAGCTTGCGTTGGCAAAACAACATGTTTGAAACCCTGTTCGTAAAGAACAAGATGTGGGAGAACATGGTTCCCTCTCAGACAGAATCCAGGAATGGAGGAACGTAGTACTCATGTTGGATAACTTTGGAGGGGGAAGGCGAGGGAATGAGGATGTGGTAGGGGGGCACTCGATGAGGATGGGGAGAAGGATGAGGAGGGGGAAGGGGGGAGGGAAGAAAAGGGGATGAGGGAATGGGCTCGCGTCGAGGTGTCATTATTTGCACATCTCGCACGGCCTAACCACCCACGGGGAGGAGGAAGAGGAGGGCGGTTGCAGCGAAGGGGAGGCGGAGGCCGAACAAGAGGAGGGCGGCTGGGGAGGAGGGGGGAGGAGGAGGAGGAGGAGGAGAGGAGGAGGAGGAGGAGGAGGAGGAGGAGAGGGGGAGGAGGGGAGGAGGAGGAGGAGGAGGAGGAGGAGGAGGAGGAGAAGGAGGAGGAGGAGGAGGAGGAGGAGAGAAGGAGGAGGGAAGAGGAGGAAGAGGGAGGAGGAGGGTGGCTGGGGAGGGGGGGGATGGGGAGAGGGTCGTAATTACTGACGTTTTCGTCGCCCGTCCAGCGCGGCCTGGCCAGACACTTTGACGACGGGCAGTCCTTCTGCGCCGCCTCCTCGCAGCGGCAAGCCCCTCCCACGCTCCCGTTCACTCGGGGCTCCTCCTCCTCCCTCCACCTCCTCCTCCTCCTCCTCCTCCTCCTCCCCCTCCTCCTCTCCTCCTCCTCCTTCTCCTGCTCCTCCCCCTCCTCCTCCTCCTCCTCCTCCCTCCTCCTCCTCCTCCTCCTGCTCCTGCTCCTCCCCCTCCCCTCCTCTCTCCCTCCCTCGCCTCCTCCTCTTTCTTTTTTGTTGTTTTCCTTCGCGGGCTGTCACGCGGCGACCAGCCGGTCGGGGGCAATGCAAAGGGGACGGCTGGAGAGGCGAGAAGCACAGGGGACGGCGCATGAAGACAGCCTGACTGCCCGTCTTGAGGCCAGGCGCAACTCATGCGGCGTGCCCCGAGATAAGTTCTTCATTTTCCCCCTTTCGCCCACTCTACGCAGACGCGATCTGACCACTCGACTCTCCCCTGACCGCATGCTGGATTGAGCCGCCCCTCCCAGACGCTTCTGTCGCAAACGAGGTCTCAAAATGTGTTCCGTTGCGGCGTCCCGATCTGAGCGCCTTCGACACTGCAAGGATATCGCTTCATCGCAAGATCGGTGCATTGCTTCCGCGTTCCGTCACTACGACTGGCGGCATCGCCGCATCGCGGACCAATTGTTTACCATGGCCCCCGCAAACACGAGTACAAGTGAGAGCGGGGGGGACGTCGGCAGTGGGGGAGGCTCGACACAAATTTGATGAAGCCCGTCGCAGGCGACGGTTTTTCACATCAACCCTCGCAACCGCCTGGGAAACTGGGCGCCCACTTGCAAACTCGACGGGTTCTCAGACGAGGGACTCAACTGACACGGCCGCGGCGAGGAGCAGGACAGATAAATTAAAGAAAATACCCATTGCGATTGCGATTATATGTTGTCGGCCTCACTGGGCGTCGAACGCAGTGAAAGAGACAAGCCCCGACATCTTGTAATCGCCACCGCGTCCTCCGTTCAACATCTTAGTCTGCGATCCCTGCGGGTCGGAATGACTGCCCTGGCTGCTGGTCCTCCTCTTCGTTCTCCCCCTCCTCATCGTCGTCATCACCATCACCAACACAAACAGTATCATCATCATCATCATCATCATCAGCAGCAGCAGCAGCAGCAGCAGCATCATCAACATCATCGTCATCATCAACATCATCATCACCAGCATCATCACCGGCAACAGCTATGATCAGCATCGTCGCCGTCGTCATTGTCATCAACCTCACCACCATCACCATCATCATCACCATCAGCACCAGTACCATCAACATCATCCATCATCCTCCTCCTCCTCCTCCTCCTCATCATCATCATCATAATCATAATCATCAGCAGCATCGTCGACCCCACCATGAGCATCAACATAATCATCACCATCATCAGCATCGGGATCATAATCATCAACATCATCATCATCATCATCATCATCATCATCATCATCAACATCGTCATCCTCATCATCCTCATCGTCCTCATTCCCGATCCTCATCCCCATCACCATCATCACCATCCTCGCCCCTCAAACTCATCTCCATCTCCATCACCATCACCATCACCATCACCATCACCATCCTCGTCACCGCCATCCACTACACATCATCCACCACCCACCGTCCATCGTCCATCCGCAATCTTCCATCACCAATGACCCATCACCATCATCATCATAATCATCATCAGCATCATCAATATCAGTATCAAGATCATCATCACTATAATCATCAACATCACCAACACACTCACCCTAATTACCATCATCACCACCACCATCATCATCAGCATCATTATCATTATCATCAGCATCATCACCATCATCGTTATCATCATCACTCTAATCGACATCACCATCACCACCATCATCGTCATCCTCATCACCGTCGCCGTCGTCACCAAAATAATGATCATGACCACGAACATGATAATCACCAACATCATCAACATCGTCGTCGTCATCTTCATCCTCCTCATCGGCAACATCGTCGTCGCCATCCGTTATCCAACACCCACCACCACTCAGCCATCATCACTCACCCATCACCCATCGCCCAGCATCTTCCTCGTCTTCATCAACAGCCCATCATCACCAATATCAGCATAGTCACGTTCGGCGTCATCATCATCATCATCAGCAGCAACATCATCATCATCATCATCATCATCATCATCATCATCATCATCATCATCATCATCATCATCATCATCATCATCAGCATGAGCATCACCATCAGCATCAGCATCATCATCAACATCATCATCATCATCATCATCATCATCATCATCATCATCATCATCATCATCACAATCAACACCACCATCATACTCAGCATGTTCATTATCCGACATCGTGCTGCCAGGTACGGAGTGGGAATGACCCCGTTTCGGGCACATGAGGGTCCCAAGACGGGCCGAGAGGCATCCGAGACGCCCCAAGAGCCTTCCCTAGAGGGCTCCGAGAGGGCAAAATTATTGAATCGCTTCGCTCATTCCGCCGGCCCATTTTCGCGCACCGGGAGGCAGTGCACAGGAAGCTCTTGGGAGTGCTCTGAGGCTTTCGGGGACGTCTCAACCTGGAGCCTTTTTGGGCTCTTGGGGGCCTCTTGGGGGCCTCATGACCGCCTGTTGGGGACCTCTTTGGGGGCATCGTAGGGATCCCTGGGGACCTCCTGGGGGCTGCTTATGGCCGAGGGCTCGCCATGTTGTTTCGTGTTCCCCCTCTGGGGCTTTTCTTGGGGCGTTCTTGGGGCCTTCTTGGGCCGTCTTGGAATCGTCTTGGGCGATCCTGGAGCCCTCTTGGGCCGTCTTGGGGCTTTCTTGGGGCCCTTTTGGACCCTCTTGGGGCGATCTTAGGGACCTCTTGGGCCGTCTTGAGGCGTCGGGAAGCCGAAAAGGGGGAAACGCCCAAATCTGTCCAAAACCTATGGGAAATCATTGAATTCTATCTACCTCTTGGGGTCCTCTTGGGAGTGCTCTTGGAAGCCTCTTAGGGGCGTCTGGGGACAATCTTGGGCATATTGGAGCGATCTTGTGGCATGTCGGAGCCCTCTTATTCTATCTTGGGGACCTCTCGGGGGCCTCTTGGCCCTTCTTGAGGCTTTCTGGAGGGCCACGAGGGCGGCGCCCACCCGACCCGACCCGGCCAGGGATCTCTGACCCGAACCGGCCGGGGACCGCCCTGGGTACTTTTCGTCTGGGGACCCCAGGGGGTGCTCCGCGCGCGCGAAATAGAAATACTGCACGCAATTACCGGAGATCTTAGCATGCCTCTGGCTCGTTGGGCTGGCGAATTGATGTCCCCAAGGTGTTTCAATGATTTTTGGGTCCTCGACTCTTCGAGCTCCCGACTCTCCATCACGGCCCAAGAGGTCCTGAGGACCGCCCCAAAACAGCCCAAGAGGCCCCCAGGAGGGCCCCAAGACGGCTCCAATGACGGCCCCAGAGGCGCCCAAGACGGCCCAAAGACAGCCCCAAGGTGGTCCGCAGAGGGGGGACACGAACCGAAAATCCCAATCCTCGACCAAAAAACCCATCAGAAGGCCCCATGGAGCCCCAAGATGCCCCAAAAGGCCCCCGCGAGGCCCCCAAATCGCACCCGGGGGTCCCCAAAACGGCCCCCCAATGACCCCAAAACAACCCCCAAGAGGCCATCGGGAGGCTCCCCGCGACATCACAACGAGCATCCCAGAGGCCTAAGACCCACAACCCAGGCACGGTGGCGGGATGGGCCGAAGGCCACTCGTTGAGCATCATCATCATCATCATCATCATCATCATCATCATCATCATCATCATCATCATCATCATCATCATCATCATCATCATCATCATCATCATCATCATCATCATCATCATCATCATCAGCATCATCATCACCACCACCACCACCACCATCATCATCATCATCATCATCATCATCATCAGCATCAGCATCGGCATCAGCATCATCATCATCATCATCATCATCATCATCATAGTCATCATTATCATCATCACCATCATCATCACAACCATCATCATCATTGTCATCAGCATCACCATCATCATCATCATCATCATCATCATCATCATCATCATCATCATCGTCATGATTATCACCACGATCACCACCCCCACCACCGTCACCACCGTCAGCATCACCACCCCCACCACCGTCAGCACCACACCCATCCCAGAGCAGGGCCAGGTGAGACAACGGCAATACAACATTGCTCTCCGCGCCCGTCCAGGGGTCCAAACGCACTTCTTGTCCGAGCTGCGTCCAGCCGTGTCGACGAGGGAGCCCCGCGAAGACCTATTACCGTTGTCTCAATCCGCCACCACCACCACCACCAGCACCAACACCATCATCATCATCATCATCATCATCACCATCATCATCATCATCATCATCAGCAGCAGCAGCAGCATCATCAGCATCACCATCAGCATCACCATCAGCATCACCATCATCATCATCATCATCATCATCAGCAGCAGCAGCATCAGCATCATCATCATCATCATCATCATCATCATCATCACCATCATCCTCCCCAGCACAATCATCATTTTCGACACCACCACCATCAACATCATCATCATCGTCGTCGTCGGAGTCTTACTATTCTTCTTTGTCGTCGTCGTCGTCGTCACCGCGATCGACATCGTCATCGCCAAAAACAGCAGCTATCATCAGCTCGACCATCAGCTCCACATCATCACCCCCGTCCTCGCCCTCGTCCTCGTCATCATCCTAGTCCTCATCATCGTCACCATCAGCGGCAGCATCAGCAGCAGCATCATCATCATCATCATCATCGTCATCAACATCATCAACATCATCATCATCAGCAGCAGCACCACCATCATCTTCCCCAGCACAATCATCATTTTCGACACCACCACCATCAGCATCATCATCATCATCATCATCATCATCATCATCATCATCATCGTCGTCGTCGGAATCTTACTATTCTTCTTCTTTGTCGTCGTCGTCGTCACCGCGATCGACATCGTCATCGCCAGCAGCAGCAGCTATCATCAGCTTGACCATCAGCTCCACATCATCACCCCCGTCCTCGCCCTCGTCCTCGTCATCATCCTCGTCCTCATCATCGTCACCATCAGCGTCAGCATCAGGAGCAGCATCATCATCATCAACATCATCATCAGCAGCATCAGCATCATCATCAGCATCATCATCCTCATCGTGACCACCATCACCATCATCACCATCATCACCATCATAAGCATCTCCATCACCATCACCATAACCATCACCATCGCCATCGCAATCACCATCACCATTACCATCACCATCAGCATCATCATCCTCCTCATCCCCATCATCATCCTCGTCCTCATCCGCATCCGCATCCTCCTCATCATCCTAATCCTCATCCTCATGCTGATCCTGATCATCATCCTCCTCATCATCCTCATCCTCATCCTCATCATCCTCCTGCACTGGTGCACTGAACATCCCCATCGAGTCCTTGCAAGTCCGAACACGCTAAGCCTGGGACTCGGGGCACGCCTTCAGCTGGCCACCTGAAATGTACATGCGTTGGGCATCGCCATGTGCGCCGTGACCATGCACGGACAAGACGTGGTGGGAACGCCCAATGCACGTACAAAAAATCCACGCACGGAAAATCCGCGAGCAAAAAGGCCCGAAACGGCTGGGGAGACAGAAAATCGCCTGACTGGCGTTTCACCACTCGCAGGGCTCAACATCACCACCCTCATGTCTTGATGAGTTCTTGATGGCGCACGCCACTGTGGGCGACCGATACCTTCTCCCCTGAAGGTGACACAAGAAAATGTATGCACTTGCTTCAGTCGGTCATCCTGAGGCCGCCAGCGCGGGGGGAGGCCCCCCAGGTTCGACACAGAGTGGCGGCCTATCCTCCTCCTCCTCCTCCTCATTCTCCTCCTCCTCCTCCTCCTCCTCCTCCTCATCGTCATCCTCCTCCTCATCCTCCTCGTCATCATCATCATCACCATCATCATCATCATCATCATCACCATCACCATCACCATCACCATCACCATCACCATCATCATCATCATCATCATCATCATCATCATCATCATCATCATCATCATCATCATCATCATCATCATCATCATCATCAGCATCAACATCAACATCATCATCATCATCATCAGCATCATCATCATCAGCATCTTCCTCCTCCTCCTCCTCTTCCTCCTCCTCGTCATCATCATCAGCAGCATCAGCATCAGCATCAGCATCAGCATCAGCATCAGCATCAGCATCAGCATCAGCATCAGCATCATCAGCAGTAGCAGCATCGGCGTCTTGCTCCTCCTCTTACCCGCTCTCCTACTCTTTGTCCCCTCCTCTATCCATTCCCTTTCCACTCTCATCGACCCTCCCCTTTCCCCTCCACTGTCCCCGCACATCTTCGAGCCCCTCCCCCATCACATCCATCCCCCTCCCCTCTCACAACCCTTTCCCAGCTACTCAATCCCCTCCCCCGCTCCCTTCCCCAGGCTAGGCCCTCCCAACGGTCCACCTACACCGATCCTGACCAGGCCAATCCTGGCCCCCTGGCTCGGCCAGGAAGGCGTAATTCTCCACCGATCCTGGGCCCAGGATTGACCTAGCCAGTGACCTGTGCGGGAGCCCGAGCGCATGCGAAGAGGGCGCGCGAGAGGACCACGAGACTCGTCTGAGGGGCACCACGGCGCAACACCAAGAGCGAGGAGGCACGGAAGCGGTCTGGCTGGCACGGATGGGGGCCCGGGCCTCGAGGACCCGATGCTCGCCGCTCGGAGGCGGATGCTCTCCGACCGCCGTTCCCGAGCACGAGCCCCCGCGCCATCCCGCCCGACGGCCCGCCCTGGACCCCCCCCCGATCGCGACCGTCCCTCCACTGGGCGGTTCAGAGATGGGGCCCCGAGGGGTGGGGCCCCAACGTAAGAGGGGCCCCGAACAGTGCAGATTCGACCCAGGACCCCTTTCCAAGGCTCCGCCCCTCGAGGACCCACCTGTGAGCTGCCGAGGCCCCCAGGGCGGCGCCCCGGCGTGGACGGACCCCGCACACAGGCCGAGCAGCCCGGAGCGGCCGGGGCGCCGCGCCGAACCCCCGCCACGCCGCGGACATGTGGGCGACCAAAGAGGGGGTCCAGCTGAAAGAGGGTGGTGCACTGGATTAAAGGGGCCCTGGGACACACAAATGAACACACACACACACACACACACAAACAAAAGGATCCCCCACACTTTCCCCATATCTTCTGGGTCTTCGTCTTCCCCCCCTCAATTCCCATATTTCCCCATACTGTCTTGGGAATCGACGATTCATTGTGTCTGTGTGCTTTTCCCCTCCTGGCAAATTCGGGGCAACCGCATTGCACAGGTCGTGCGCCGGACACCTGTGCGGCACTGCACTGCAAGCGGTGTGCACTGCACGCGGAGAGCCGGCAAGACATTGGCGCCCTGGAGTGTACTGCGCGCCCCCAGCGGCTTGCAACCCCACAGATCTGTGGCACCAGATCAAGTCTGTTGCACCACGCCCTTGTCTCAAGTCGGGCCCGTCCCCCTACAGGGGGATTTTGGACGAAAAAGAATGAATACGCAAAATGCCCCAAACATGCCCAAACATACCTCCAAAATGATTAGTCCCAAGACTATTTTGTTGACTATTCTTGAATATTCCTCCTGTAGGGGGGCAGGCCCGACTTCACCCTTGTCGCTGGACCCCCTCTTGGGTCACCCCGCGGACAGGGGCGCGTGGGGCCCCGCCCCTGCGATGATCGGGTCGAGCGAAAGGGGGGGATAGCAAAAGGGGGGGTTTGAGAATCTGCTCACGTAGCTGATTTTCCCGGCGCCTCCCAGCGCCGGAGGCGGCTATGTATCGAGGAATGGGCCCCTCGGTGGGGCCGAAACCAGCTGCATGCAGCAAATTTCGTAACCCCCCCTTTCCCAATCCGCCTTTCGTCCGGCCCGAGATGAGCTCCCAGGTCCTCGCAGGCGTCCACGGCGTCCAGGCGGAACGCCACCTTGCTGGGCCGCCTGGGCGCTGCGCGCGCGCTGCGCGCGCGCGCTGCGCGCACAACACCTCAACCCCTCTTGGGCGCCGCCCGTGCGGCGAGAGAACACGGACGTGCACACAAATGCGGAGCAGGCCGTGCAACAACTAGGGATAAGAAAAATGACACAAATATAAAAACTCGGAGGTCCGCGCGGATTTCTCGGATTGGCGCTGGACCCCCCTTCATGGCGCGCAGAGCGCGCCAGGAGCGGCGCCAGAGTGCAAGGGCCTTGGAAGCCCATTTCGAAGCTTTTCGAGCGGGGCGCGGCCAACGAAAGTGGTCAAGGATGGACCGAGGAGGCAAGGATGCAAGGGTTCCCTTGGGAATGTTGCCCATCCTTACTATGCGGGTTGACTGTACGTGGGGGGAGAACCGTGCACCTTGGGCTCCCAGGGGGGCCCTTGCGGGCCCCTGCAGGGCACAAGAGGTACACCCGTCTTCGCCCTCCCTATTCAGAAATCCAAAAATCCACCCCCATGATAACCGCCCCGCCACGCGAAGTCGCCTGGTAAACGCGCCCAAAGAAGGAGAATTAGACAGGGCAGGGCTGTTTCGTAAGCGCCCAGGGCCGTCTAGTCAACGCAAATTGTCCGGGCTGGGTGGGTCTTCCGCCCTTGACCATTGATCGACGGGCGCGTTCCACTACTCGCAAAATAACTACTCGGAAATGGCCTGGATCCCCCGCCGGGGATCTACGATACATCACATCAGAGCAGACAGGTGTTTTTCGGACGTTTGCGAGTAGGCACTTTGCGAGCAGTGGAACGCGCTCGGCGAATTGACCGCTCCCCAATTTCGGGGGCGGCCAAGAAGGGGGTGTCCAAGAGGGGGGGGTGCAAATCATGGCCGGCGGCATGTGCGCGGCCCAAGAGGGGGGCCAGGAACGTAATGAAATAAGAGGAGGCGCCGTGAAATCAGGGGAAATATCCTGGCCCCCGCCATGATGTCCACCCCCCCTAGTCTTATGTCGGGCGTGTCCCCGTACAGGGGATTCTCGACGAAAAGTAAAAAGTACCCCAAAAATACTCCAAAAAGGTCAGAAAATATTCAAAAAATAATCCCCAGACTATTTTTGGACTATTCTTTGACTATTTTTGGGGTATCTTCTATTTTTCGTCGGAAATCCCCCTGTAGGGGGACAGGCCCGACGTAACCCCAGTCGTCACCCCCCTCTTTGCCGCCCCCGAGATCACGCAACGGCCGATGGACGCACGGTGCCGCGGAGCCGGCGGCGCGGCGCCCGACAGCGCGGGCACAAAAACGCACCCCGACGTTTCTGCGGCGGGCCCCCCCGGGGCCTCCAGCCTCCCGCCTCCGCCCCGCTCCTCTCTGTGGACGCCCGAACTGGGCACGGAAAGAATGGGTAGAATGCCCAACAACGTTGTCCCAAACCAACAGCGGCCGTTGTTGGGCAGGCGGCCCTCTGTCTCAAATGTACACAGGCCGTGGCGACACAGACAGCGAGTCCTGTTCAAAATGAGCTAGAACTGCTGTTGGGCAGTGTACCCATTCTTTCCGTACCCATGTCGGGCGTCCAAACTCTCGGGGGGAGCAAAAGGGGGGGACAGCAAAGGGCAGGGCAGAGAATGAGCTTACGCAGCCTGACTTTCCCAGCGCTTCCCCGGCGCCGGGAGGCGCCCACACATGCATCGAGGAATGGATCCGGCGGCGGGGCCGAGACCAGCTGCATGCAGCAGATTTCGTACCCCCCCTTTCCCTATGCCCCCCCTGTCGCTCGGCCCACTCCTCTGAGGGACAACGATGTCGGAGCGCGTCGGGACAGTTGAGCAGGGACCGACCGTCCCGGCATTCCTATAGTCATACCACGACATGTTCTTAGAACCCCAAAATGTTCTAAACACAAAAAACATGTTCTTAGAACATAAACCCCAGGTGTTAAAACAAGACCATCTCCGCCAGACATGTTTTGAGAGCATCTCGTGGACACCGCAAAAAGTTCTTAGAACCTTGTTTGGTAGGGCTACAGACGAGCCAGGACGCTTCGCCACTTAAAACAGGGCTAGGATCGGGATAACTCGCTCCAGAGCGTTCCGGAACGCTCTCAGAGCGTTCCGGAACGCTCTGGAGCGGCCGCGGCGCCCAATACATCCTCCAAACCCGCCGATTCTCAGAGATTTCGAGTTATCCCGATCCGATTTTGTCCCGATCTTCGCGTCGTTTGACCACTGCTCGAGACACGGGCCGCCTTCTCTTGGCCGGGGGGGCCCCCCGCGGCCACGGCCGGGCGCAGCTCGGCAAAGCGCGCGCGCGTGGGCCCAGGGGAGAGGCCCAGGGCGCCCGTCGTCTCGCGCGGCTCTGGCCATCGCTCGGACGTCCATTCCCTGTTTTTTTCGGTTTCGTGCATGGTTTTTTCGCCAAATGATCAAGGATGCTCCTCGAAGGTCCTCGCCGAGAAAAAATGCACACGTCCGAGCGATGCCAGGGGCTCTCCTCCGAGATGGGGCCGATAAGGGGGGCTGGCTCAGGGCGGAGAGCATTGATTGGCGGCGCGCAGAAAAGGGGTAAGGGCAGGGGGGAAGGCGTCTGAGAAGCACCCCTGCTTCTTTTAGAAGGCGCGGGCCCTCTCTGCAGATGTGAGGCCGGCGCCTTCTAAGAAGCAGCCTCCTTCTAAGAAGCCTTCCCCCCTCCCCCTACCCCCCCCTGCGCGCCGCCAAGGAGGAGGAGGAGGAGGAGGAGGAGGAGGAGGAGGAGGAGGAGGAGGAGGAGGGGGCATCTTGGGAGTCTCTGGGGACCCCCCTTCTGCTCGCCGCCAAATTGACGTTGCATCGGCGGTACACTGCCGAGGGCCCCCCCCCCCCCCCTAGCGAAACCGCGCGCTCCCTACCCAGGGGTGGGAGGAGTCTGGCCCCTCGGGGGCTATGAGTGGGCGCTATTCAGCGTCGATGCGACCCCCTCCTGCTCCTCCGCCTCCTCCTCCTCCTCCTTTTCCTCCTCCTTTTCCTCCGACTCCTCCTCCTCCTCCTCCTCCTCCTCCTCCTCCTCCTCCTCCTCCCTGAGCCCAAGCCCTCCTCTGTTCCCGCTTCCTACCTCGACGCTTCGGAGGCCATTCGGTCAGGACGATCCTGGCACCCCCAGACAGCTCTCGGCGAGGCGCTGGATAGCACCCCGAGGCTCCGAAAAGCTCGAAACGCGGACTCCCAGCGAGGAAATTTCTCTCGGTGCCTTGAAGCCCTCAATCCTCAAGCGAGAGGGCCTCTCTGATCGGGGCCCTTCCTGCGAGAACCGCCCGCGATCAAAATGGGCTAACCCTGAGCCCCTCCCCCCCCATCGTTGCCACCGACCATTGAAGGCCAACGTGAAGGGGGGACCGACTCAGGAGGGGGACCATCGAACTGCAACCGTACGACACTTCGTCGATAGATCGGCAATATGCCCACGATGGCGAAGCCTCAAAATCCTGGGTGGGGGCGACGAATGGGCGATTGTTGAGAAGGGACCGACCGTCCCGGCATTCCTTCGGCCTACCACGAAATGTTCTTAGAACACAGCAATGCTCTAAGAACAAAAACAATGTTCTTAGAACGCGAGCCCGATGTGTTCAAAGAAAACAGTCTCGGCCAGACATGTTCAAATAAGATTTCGGGCAGACCACAACAGGCTCTTGGAACTTTCTTTGGTGAGCCTATAGGCACGCCTGGACGCTTCCCTGAGATCCGACGTTGCAAGAAAAATGCAACATCGGAAACAATCACGCGCATAGCCCCGGACACCATCTTTCTGCGTCAATTTTCGAGCCGGATCGATCTGTGAGGGTCCCAGGGCCCGAAATGGAGCGAAAACGCCCGTGGCGAACAAATTGCAACGCCCGGATCTCAGGGTTCGCCACTGCTTGAGATTGGAGGTCGATGCATCTTCCCCTGAGCCTGTCCTGCCCCCCGCATCTGAAGGGGAACTGGGACACACAAATAAATACACACAAATAAAAGGATTCCCCATATTTTCTCATATTTTCTGGGCTTCTGTCTTCCCCCCCACTTCCCATATTTTCCCATATTTTCTGGGAATCGACGAATAATTTTGTGTCTGTGTGTTTTTTCCCCTCCTGAGCATCGCTGCCCTGGATCCGAGCGGTCTCCGGGCCACGATCCCGGCCTCCGGCGGCCGATCGGGGCGGCTCTCGGGCACCCCAGGAGTATGCCCTCGACGAGGCGCGGCGGACCGCAGCGGCCCCCCGCGCCCCGGAAACGCCCGAGACCATGCGAGCACGTTCCAGAACTTCAGCCCCCTGAGCTAGGAGGCAACTACCAGGATGTTTTCGCCGGAAAGGCTGAGGAGGATGAAGCCCCATGTGGGAGCTGTTGCGCTGGAGTGGGCCTCGGACTGAGCAGGAGTAAGCCGGATCAAGCGGGATGAAGGGCAGAATCAGAACTTGACCTCCCAGGAGTTGCATCCGAACCTGAGCGATCCCCCCTTCGCATTGCCCCCGATGCCCCCCGCCCCTCACCCTCCCCACCTCACCCAACATTGCCCGTTACCTACCGTCGCCCCCGATCTGGACGCCAGAATGGATACGGGAAAAAGTGGGTACGATTCCCAACAGCCGATGTGGTCCAAAACGGACAGCGGCCGTTGTTGGGCAGGCGGCCTTCTGTGGCAAATGGACAACGCCCGCGGCGAAACCAACACCGCATCCTGCTAAGGATGAGCCAAAAATGCTGTCGGTCTTTGTGCGCATGTTTGTCCGTCCCCATTCCCTGAGATCCGACGCAACGAACAAAATACAACAGTGGTAAAACTCACGCCCGGAGCCCTGGACCCCCTCTTTCTGCGTCATTTGTCGAGCCCGATCGATCCGCGAGGGTCCCGGGTCTCGAACAGAAAGGCGAAAACGCCCGGCTCGAAAAACATGAGACGCCAAGGATCTCAGGGTTTCCATCGTTCTGACCCGACCTCCCCCCCAGAGATCCGACGTCGTGACTTCTTCCATGCGGGGTCCCCCGAGGTCTCGACCCATTCCCCAGGACCGGTTTTTCCTCCCGAGTCGATTTTTGAGGGTCCCGGGGCCCGGCGAGGGCCTCTAGAGGTCGGAAATTACGAAAAACTTGCGTCTTTTGGGAATTACGAAAAACTTGCGAAACTCTGGAGGTCGAACTTACGAAAAATTGCGAAAAATCTGGAATTGATTTTTTCAATGCGTTGAATCTCTGGCCCCCCATGGCACCCAGCGCAGCGGGCGCTCGGGCGCGCCCCCCGCTGGCTGGCCTGCGAGACAGCAGGGACGCCGGCGGCGCCTGCGCCCGCCCCCCCCCCCCGGGGGGCAGCGGGGGCCCGGGAGCAGGAGAAGCAGCAGGAGGAGCAGCAGGAGGGGTGGGGGAAGGAGGAGGAGGAGGAGGAGCAGCAGCAGGAGGGGGGAGGAGGAGGAGGAGGAGGAGGAGGAGGAGGAGGAGGAGGAGGAGGAGGAGGGGAGGAGGAGGGAGGAGGACGAGGAGGAGAGGAGGAGGAGGCAAGAGGAGGAGACGCGAAGGAGGCAGAGGAGGAGGAGGAGCAGGAGGAGGAGACGAGGAGGAGACGCAGAGGAGCAGCGAAGCCCCGTCGTCGACGCCCACCGCCGCCGCCCTCGTCGACCTCGGCGTCGCCGTCGCCGCCGTGGTGCCCGCCGCCGCCGTCGCCGACGCCGCAGTCGCCGTCTTCGTCGTCCTCCGGCCCCTGAGGGAAAGGGGAACGGATATGAGGACTTCGGGGGAAGGGAGAGGAGCAAGCGGAGGGCGAGAAGGAGGAGGAGGAGGAGGAGGAGGAGGAGAAGAGAGAGGAGGAGGAGAAGAGGGAGGAGGAGGAGGAAGAGGAGGAGAAGAGAGAGGAGGAGGAGGAGGAGGAGGAGGAGGAGGAGGAGGAGGAGGAGGAGGAGGGAGGAGGAGGAGGAGGAGAAGGACCAGTGTAAGCCCAATACCCATCAACGATATTGAAATAAACCCTCCCTCCAAATCCCCTCAGAGGTCCCTACAAGGATTAATTTTCAGAAGAAGAAGACAAAGAAACGCCTCGCTGGAAGACAACCGTCTGAAAATCCTGAACCGTGCCAAGACATCATTCCGTAGACCTAACGCCGCGAATCAACGTTACTGTTGCGTCCCGACGATCCTGAACTGCACCAGAGCCTAATTACTGGGACTTCAACGCTTCCAATCAACGCCCCGTTGCACCCTGTCAGTCCCACATCGGGGCGTCATACATAAGAGTCCTTGAAATTGTGATAAGCTCTTAAGACGAATGCACGCGGCGCTCAAACGAGAACCGCATATTGGAAAGGGACCGCCCTCCATCCGTGAAGCTCCTGCAAACGTCTAAATACAATGTACGCAGCGCTGAGGGGAGAGCCACAATTTGGAAACGACCCGCCCTCCACCCGAGATGCTGCAAACTCTGAAGACGAGTGCACGCGGCACTGGGACAAAAACACGTCTTGAAAACGGCCCGTCCTCCATTCGTGAAACCCTTTTGCGACCTTTTGAGACGCATGCGCGCGGCGCTGAAGCGAGCGCCACGTTTTGGAAACGGCCAGCCCTACAATCGCGAAGCTCTTCCACACACTTTCGAGGCGAGCGTGCGCGGCGCTCAGGCGAGAGCCACGCTTGGAAAACCGCCAGCCCTCCCGCCGAGGAGCGACTGCAAATTCTGCATGCGAGGATGCCAGCAAATCGGAAATCTCAAGCGAAACGCCCGGCCTGTCCTACCGGCACGTCTCGGGGTGCGACAGGGAGGAGCTACCTACGAGGAGACTGGGATGGAGGACCCTCCTCCTCCGATCGGGCGCTGGCAGAACTGGGCTCAGTGGGACCTGGTTTGGTGATGTGTGCTGGGGGACGCCCCCTCGCCCCGTTCCACGAACCGGAACTGGCTCAGTGATTCTGGCCAATTCAGGGGCTCCAGGGCCCTACCACTAGCCGGGTCCCCTTACCTGGGGTCCTGGCTGTACCCGATCCGAGCGCCGCGGGTTCCTTTGCCGTCGCCGCCGTCGTCGCCGTCGTCGCCGTCGTCGTCGCCGTCGTCGCCGTCGCCGTCGCCGCCGTCGTCGTCGTCGCCGCCGCCGTCGTCGCCGTCGTCATCGTCGCCGTCGTCGTTGTCGTCGTCGTCGTCGTCGTGCTCCTCCTCCGAGCGCCGCGGGTCCCGCGGCCCGGAAGCCGGCCCACTCCCGCGCCGCCCCTCGCCTCGCGCGTGGCGGTTCCCCCAGGAGCGGCGCGCAGAGGCGGCCACTGCCAGGGTGAGGGCGTGCGCCGGCCGGGTCCTCTCCTCCTCCTCCTCCTCCTGGCATTTCTGGCATTTCGGCCAAGGTGAGTCGAACTCGCAGGTCGCATCGAATTGAATCTGCACCAAATTCAATCGCGTCGACTTGGTCGAAGCGATAGCATAGGTGTGCTTTCATCTCGGCGGCGGACTGCCGCTGCGGTGCAAGCCGGGGCCGAGCCTCTTTCTTTGACCCCCCCGCCCACCGTACCGACTTAACCCGACCTCCCATCATCTTATTAGGCTGGCTGGCCGGCAAAATCGCGACCATAGTGGTCCCATTGCTGCTCTTCACTGTAACAATCGAGCGGCACGTAAAACCTGGCAAGATCATCTTCTACCTCGAACGGTGTGGAAGGCAAGGCGGGATCTGTAGTCGCCTTCCCTTCACAGAACTCATACACGTGTTTGGCCAGAAAACCGCACAGTTCGTCAGGATATTGCTTCGCGGGGGCTGTGTTAAAGCCCCCCCTCCCGTCCCGACCGATCAGCACTTTGTGGCTGCCATAAGCATGTGAGCACTTTCCGCCGCGAGGCATTGTCTGTGTCGCCTCGCTGATGGATGGCAAGTTTATCGTCATAAAGCACGTAGGCTTTCGCGATGGAGCACCAAATTCACACTGATCTATCCAATTCAGCTGCACTACTACATCTGGATGCAACAGCTGGATAATGTGAGACGTTTCTGGCAAGGACCACGAGGTGGGGAGCATGGGGTCTTTCGGCGGGGCAGGGTGCTCTACAATTCCTGCTGCGGCTGTTGCAGCAGCGACATATGCGAACAGCAGCGTTGTTCTATATAAATCATTTGCTGCCCCAACCTGCTCCCACTCTCGGTTGGTCATTTGTGGGATCCCCCATAAAGACTGGACCGATCGTATTACTCTGGGCCCCGAGGCTCCCTCGAGCTCGTTGGCCCTCGCTGAGCTCCACGATTCGCAAGGGGGCCCAGCAATAAACGCAAGCGCACGGCCTGCGAAGAATAAATCTATGAGCGTCTGGACAGCTGCTGAATCTCTGAGATCCCCCGACACGTGGTGAACGACGTCAACCGACAAAACCCAAACTGCAGCTCCGGATCTGCTCTGATACTTCTCGAAGTGCGATTGAAAATCTCCTGCTCTGCGCTGACCGCTGAACAGGTGGAGCACGTACCGCACTCCATCTAGGGGCACTGGCTTTGGTACTGCAGACGTTCCGTAAAACTGGCAAGCTTCTGCCTCTGTGGGCATTGGCGGGGGTTCAGGGAACCTAAGCTGATCAACCAGGTCTTGGGGCGGGGGAGGCCAGGCCGGGCCCTGAATTGGGTAGACTGGCGTCTCGGCTTTAGCATAGTAGAGCCCGCGGGCCCTGAGAGCCCTGGCCTGAGCGGCCTCCACCTGCTTCTCGTGTTCCCTCTCTTCAGCGCTTAGGGGAGCTGTCGTGTGCACCCAAGTCGCTAAACACCTTCTGTTCCCCCTTCGTAAATGCTTCAAGAGTCGCGTGCGCGTGGAAAATCCTTTCATACAAGCATGGCAATCGCTTCCTGCTGCATGCATCGATGCATGGTCTGTTTCCTCATGATCTCGCACCCTATGCAACCTCCAACTTCCAACCGTTGTGAATACAGCACCACACATGCTGCAAGGGTATACTAAGACACGAGGGGGGGGTACGACCGTGGGGGGGGGGCTAATGCCACTCGCTTGGCAGACATCGTAAATCTTCTGGCGCCAAAGCGTCAGCTTCAACTGGTCTTTGCTCCAATGGCCGTACGCGGCCGTGGCACGGTTGATGGCAGCCTTCCAAGAGGCCGGTGCTTCACGGGCAACCTCAAACCACTTCCAGTGGGGGGTGGGGTTCGTGTGGCTCTCATGCTCTTGATGCTCGTCGAGCCATTCAAAATCCCCCCGCAACAGTCCGCACCACCCTTCCCCTTCTTCCCACAAGTATTGTAACAGCAGCCTTAGCTGTGGCGGACCTGTGCGAAGCACTCTCCCAAAGTATCGCAAACGCAGGACTCTGAGGACAACTGCAGGGTCAAACAACGCAGCCTCGAGCATGACGTCTTCGCTTCGCATGCGGGCTCCTTCCTGCTGGGCTCTCCAGCTGTCTTCGCCTAAGGCGTGTCGGTAAGGCTTCAAAAACTCCGTTTTTAGTTTTTCGGCGTCCTTGCAGCTAAGAGGGCCCCAGATGGCTCCGTGGAAAAGAAGTTTTGTCGAGCAAAGGGGGTAACAATATCGGAGCTTGGTGCTTTTGGCAACGCCCCTCATCTTGAACACGGATCGTTTTAGTGGTCCAATACCGCTGTTCTGCTCCACGGCTCGTGCCTGAAGCTCCGGTCCCATGACTCCATCAACATGCAGGACGCTCCCCAGATGCTTGTGGCTCGCACAGATTTCGACCTTGAGGTCATACCTGGGGATGTCAAGATATGGCTCACCTACAAACCATTGCTGCTTGGCCTCCTGCTTTCCCTCTCCATGTATGCCAACGAAAATTCCCGTTTTGCCTTGACCGTAATTTAGCAACATGCCACGCGAAAGCGTTGTCTCGTGCAATATGATGCACATCTTGATTGCTGCCTGCTTCAACGTGGCGTTGTCTCGCCAGATCGCTAGTGCTGTGAGATCGTCGGCATACGTTGTATTTGTCACTTTGTTGTGGTCCGAGTCTCCGTCCTTGATGAATGGACCATCCTGGGCCGGCAGGTGAACACACAGATCATGATGACACATCTTGTCATGCGTCTCTGCTAAGATGGGGGAGAACGAGATATTGAAGAACATGTCCCCAGCGTTGCTGCCGGGTCTGGTTCCCTTCCTGGTTCTGGCCATCTGGTCAGCGTCGCGCACCGAGAACCATGTGTCCTGGTGCATATCCTGCATCACGGCCAACATGTGGGGATCGTCCAAGTATTGCTCCAATATCCCTGGCTGAGCAATAAGCTCGTTCATCACCGGGGTCAGGGCAAGCGGGATGTCGGCAGACTCAAGTATATCGTTGGTGTCGTTATCCTCCCTAAGTTTAC